CCCCCGTGGTTAATGATAGTTGATGCTTGAGAAGAAGTAAAAATAAAATTAGATATTCAGTTTTTCTCACTTCAGACCTTTCGATTTCGCAGTCAGATGCTTAATCAACTTGAGCATCGAGAGATTCAACATCTTTGAGCATTGCATTAAATGTTTTTTAGTTATCTATTTTCGCTAGCTATTTTAGAACATTTTCGAGCTACGAGGTTTAGTAGTAAAATTTATGGCAGTCACTTGAGAATTATAGTATTTAATGTTATTGGATGTATATCAGTCACAAAACCATGCCAAACTATTCACCTTTTTCACAATATTCTCCTATGAAGCCTTTTGCACAGCGGCATCCGAATGAGCCATCTCTGTAGTTTGTGACACATGTAGCCTCGTGTTGACAAGGTGACGAAGAGCAAGGTGACTGTAGAGAAACAAAGTAGGAAAATGGTTCATTTTGCAAGGCAACTGTAAGTTTTTAAGTAAGTGGTGAATAGCGGGTACATGAATCCGCCAATCCGCGCTATTCCGTCAATCAGGTTCGGATTCGTTTTAGTAGAAATTTTTGATGGAATAGACATACCTCATATGATCGTATCTAGGTTTTTTTTTTTCATTTTCATCTACAGTTTTAAGATTTTGGCTGAGTTTTCTGCCTTTGCTGGCATTTGAGAAAGTGGTTTTATGAGATTAAAAATATATTGCTAAGGCGTTGGGGTCTATGAGTCTGGAAGGGTTTTCTAACCGTTTCGAACGTTCGCAGCAACTGAAGAAGTCTGTCGATAAAACATATTAAAACACAAATTGACTAAAGGCTGACCAAATGTTGACGATTCAAACAACGATTCCATTCTTTAAATAAACAGAATCTGGTATCTTGACTCAAATTTTCAACCGAGTCACATATATTTTCTTAGTCTGCCGACGTGCCTGGGAAACAGAAGGTGGTAAGTAAGTAAGATGGTGCGCGGCACGAAAAAGTGTTTGCATGCTTTACAACATGCCATGGAAATATGGTTGTCAACAAAATGAATACGACAAAAGACCGACACCATTTGCAGTGGCTTTAACCTGACTGCCTTCTCTCTACGATCTTGACAAAGCTGTCAAACTTTTAACACGTTTACTTGTCAAAATTAAGAGTGTTTCCTACCTCAATGGCAAAATGATGCGAACTTTTATTTCCTTTATACTCTGTGGAGTTTCTGAATTTATCAGATGACAACAATTCGCACCAAAGCTTTCCATGGGCTCCTTTGAAGGCGGCCAGGTTTACAGAGAGACAAAACGGATTGCCGAGGCATTCTAACGTGCAGTCAAACGCATCAGACACTGCCACTGTTCCAACAAGCGGGACATTCAAGTGATGAAACTCGTGTTTAATGAATGTACGTCTCAGGAAGGTTCTCGTGGAAGAGGCGCTATTGCCCTCGCGATACACAGGTTTTGATTCTGCAACTGGAAAGAAGAACAGTTTGTAATAAAAGGACATGATGGAAAGACTCACGGGAGGGAGTGGCGAAGAAGGGACCTCTTGTGAAATTCGCTGTTTAGGGAGATGAAAAACCATTTTGCTATAGTCAGTAGTTAAATAGATTCACTAAATTGCAACGTTTGAAGCATACCATAGAAAAAACTTTTTTAAAGAATGGTTTCAAGGCCGATTAGTATCAGCC